AAGCTGGGAGATGAAATTGGCCTTTACTGGGACACATGCAATTCAAGATTCCAACTTGCTGTCCTTAACCGAGCTGCGGGGCATTAACTTTTTTTTTTTTTTGTTTTTTGTTTATCAAGCTAACCATGATACATCTATTCTCCATTTAAGCTCTAGCTTGAGGGATTTACATAGGTTTAGAACTGTTTGAATCTTTTTCATATGTTCTATTCTATTATAAATGAATAGTCCTCCACATTGTGGAAATAGATTCTTTTGTCTTCTATATGAAAAATATGAAAAGAGAGGTTTACAGTTTCTATTCCCTTTTTTATGTAATATTACTTTTTTTATTTTAAGTTAATCAACTCTGAGTTAAATTTAATTAGTTTCAAATAGAGTTTGGATTATTTATTTGTTCAACTTCAATATTTTGACTTTGAGCTTCTTTTGTATTAACGGTGATGATTAAGTCTATCTTGTTTTTTATGTTATATTTATATCTGACATATGATAAGTATAATCAAATTTCACCTTTTGCATTCCTAAACTTCATAGCAGAAAAAATTGCCAATGGTCAAACAAGTTAATTCATGGTTTATCAAATTATGCACTAATTATATAACAAATTGAAGATCGCAAAATGATAGTTTAAAGCAATTGAAACTCAAGTTTATATTTACAAGAAGCTATTAAAAAAAACTTCTTCAACTCTTTGATTTTCCTCCTTTTCTGATGCCATAAGTACTGATATAAGATATGCTGACAATCTTGTTGGAACTTGGAAGAGCCACTAAAGATGTTCTTAAATTAACTTTGTCATGTATGACTGAATCAAGTACTTTCATGCTGTCGCAAATGTGACATTTTACATTACATTCCAGTATTTCACTATACATTTTGATTAATGCACATTATTTGTACACCTAAAACGCCTAAAACCTCAAGGAGATGGCCACCTCTCAAATCTCTATAGGTTGGAGGATATAATTTTTACACCAGAAAAACTCTAATGAGAAAGTATATTAAGGAGAGAAACTCTGGTATGGATCAAGCTCCTAAACAAGCACTCCAATCCATCTTCAAAACCTTCAAAGATAGCATCCAAAGATTCCAATTTAACCTTTGCAGATTGAATATTCTCTTCCTCAATGTCATCTTTCGAACTCTGTAGTAGTAAGTTGCTGACTGCAACATCCACTCTCTCTAACTCGTTCATGTTCTGGTGCTCTTCACATTCTGTTAGACCCTTCCGCACCAACTTTGAAACCAATGACCATTTTGAAGGCTTTGGCTTCAACATTGATGGAGACAGGAATAACAGGAGGGCGTGAAAGATGGAAGTAGTGATCAAGCTTGCTTCTCTAAGCACTCCAGCCACCGCAGAGAGACGATGGTTTTGTTCTAACTGGGGAAAGCCCCTGAATATGTTATCCATTTGCTTCAATGTTGCAAGCGAATTTGCAATTCCCTTTTTCGTGGTCTTCCTGGAGGAAATGTAAGCTTTGATATTGTTCTCAATGCTTAGCTCTCCTCCCTTGCATCGTCGAAGAGCTGATTGAAGTTCCCTAGCACTTTGTTTCATCGACAAAATGGCATCCCTTGTGTTACCGCATAGATCCAAGTGCTTTAATGAACAATCTAACAATTCATTGTCCCATTTCTCATTGTGATGCTGAGCCAATGCTTGCTGTGTGAGGGGCAAATTAAGAAGATCCTCTACGCAAATACACAACTCTGCTAGGCCAAATAGACTGGTGCAAAGTGGTTCAGCATTTGATGATGAAGCTTCCTGACAAGACGTAAGCTTGTTCAGCTCTTCTTCCATTCCAAGCTTGATCGGATGTGATCTAGCTGGAAAGCTGATGGATCGGACTCTGCACAGGTCAGTAGACTTTGAGGAGAAAGCAGCCATTGTTACTCTTTTCATTCTAGAAAGACTCAACGAAGATGGAAGCTGAGTACTATTAGCCAGTACCATATATTTATACCAACAAATTGGGGAGATGGAAAGTAACCAGAAATCAGTGTATGCCCATGTGGCAATGTGGAAGGCATGTGAAGACAGTGTGGGAATTTTCCCGTAGAACGTATTATGTTGTCACATATCCCACCAAAATAGATTTATAAACTTTATAAACTTGCCTTATTTAAAACCATCCCATGGTTCTGATTTGGGTACGGTACGTGTATCTCACTCTTGGGATTTTGTTTCTCATACACTCCGGGTTCATTAGACCAATCTGCATTTTTCCATCATCTAATGCACCACCGCCACTGCCGAACGCCGACCTAGATTTTTCTATTTGTTCTATTCGTGGAAGTTGGCTAACATTTAAATAAATGTGGCCAATCCAAAGTTCTCCGGATATGGAGGGACCTTGAAACTGTGTTGTTTTGAGATCCCAAAAGATCAGGATTTAAATGGATGTAGTAGTTCACATATGTTAAAAACCAAAACAAAAGATTGAAGATATCATTTATATTTGGGTACCCGAGTGGTACCTCATCTATATGTTCCCTTCAAGGCTTGCTAGCTGAGATTTGCCAGAGTAAGACATCAGTCTTCTACTTTGATATATTATAATCTGATACAGATAACAATGTTTTTGGCTAACATGGATACATGAATGCTACTACATTAACATCCAACTTGTTAGAAATAAACAGCCTCCAGGTTCTTCTGATGGATTATATGGCCAACCTGCAGGATGATTTCTAGAGTGAGTGAGGGTAGATTTCTCGCCTTCCATTTTGTAAGTTTACTTCTCTGCATTTCCAAAAGATTATACAGTTACCCTTCGTTGACTTCTATTATGGCTTGGTACACAATCTGGGTATGACATTCTTGGTATAATTAATGCCATGAAATGTAGCAAAGATGTATACGAATTAACTGTATCAATTCCTTGACGTAGAAAAATGTTCAGCCGGTGCCGCCCTGAATGAAGCCGCAACCAATACCAGGACTCCAGGAGCCTCTGGTGCACCTTGAATTTTTCCTATAATAAATTGTTTTTTTGCTTTGGAAAAGGGTGTCGAGCGTCTGATCCACCTGATACGTGAAATCTTATCGAATGATGAGCCTTAAATGTTGGAGTAAAGGGCTATCAACAAAAACATATAGAAATTCTAAAATTTACTCTCGTTCAGACACGTGTTAAGACTTTAATTAATGCCCTGGTCTGAGTACCCCTTTCCGCAGGTTCGTCGCCAACACGTGGAAGAACTCAAATCACTTAAGTCAATAACCTTTGGTTTAAAAATCAACACGGTAAAAGTAAGTTATTTCAAAGGAATAAGAAAAGAGAAAGCTGCAGCAGCTTTCTTGTAAGATAATCCGCCATGGGAATAACTTCTGCCATGAACATAATCAATACCAGTAATTACAAAGAACGTTTAATTTCCTTGACATGGTATTTGATCATTGACTAACTCATCTGCACATTAGTTCAGGACTTACCATTGTTGAAAAGCCTTATAGCAGCCTAGGCCCTAAATAACAGTGATCAAGCTGTCAAGCTGTCAAGCTGTAGGCCTAAGAATTTATCAGGAATCTGAATTTGATAGAAATCCAGTCTGCTCAAGTTCTCGACCTAACTTTAGGAACTCCGGTGTGTGGATTTCAGTTCCAGATGCAGTGTGATATAGGCACACCACGGAAAATTGCAAAATTCTTTTCCTTTTTCTGTTGATGAATGCAAAATTAGTTTTAACCAAACTTCTTGATTGTTTATTCCAAATCATGCTTAGCCTTCTATCTTGGGATCCCTAAGATTGCTAGTGTATAGCCTAAATTCTCTCTATCAGCAGATTGTTTCTATGGAAAATTCTTCAAATTTACAGAGCTTTGAAATGCTGGGATGTGAACTTTAATTGGTAAACCCAGATTTGAGATGACTGCAGTCTTACAGTCTTATTGATTGCTTTCAGCAGCAAAGGATTTTGACATCCAGGATGACTTAATGAGGATATGGTTTTGAAATGACTTGTTTCCTTATCCCATCTCATCCTCACCCTTATTCTCTGAAGTCTGGAGTATGTTTATCTACAATTCAACGTTGATAAGGGGTACAAGCATAAACATTGCTCACACGGAGTCCTTATAAACCGAGGTAATGGTTTCTGTCAACAGAAAAATCTTAATGTCAGCAGAAGAAATCAAGGAAAAAGAAAGGGACAGCATAATTTGGGTTGTCAAAACTTCAACTTATATTACAGTCTATAACTGTTATTTTTGTACAATGTACAGATATTTTTAATTGAATCTGAAATCCCCAGGCATATCCTCTAAAACTTGGATGCCTCAGCAGGATTTGTACATATGAATAGCCATGAAAATCACCTATTGAGAGATAACGTTCAAGAGAGAGGTTCTTGCTTTGATTAAGTGCCTAAATACGCATTCCAGACGGTTCTCTAGGCCTTCAATGCTACTCTCCAAAGCCACCAATCTTTTATGTGCAATTTTCATCTTCTCAACATCGGATGTGTGTCTGCGAAGTGCAGCATCCACGCTTTCCAATTCATTTACATTCTCTTGCTTCTCTTCACATGATATTACCCCCTTGTGCATCAGTTTTGAGACCAGAGACCATCTTGTTTGCTTTGAGGAAACTGGTGCTGACAAAAATGAGAAAAGGTATTGGAAGATAGAAGTATTCATTACATTAACTTCTCTTAGCACCCGAATCACAGCTGAGAAATGATGATCCTGATCCAGGAGGGGTGCTGCTCCAAGTTTGTTGTCCATTTGCTTCAATTCTGTGATCAATTTCTTGCCCTGCTTCTTCATCTCCTTCCTGAAGCAAGTGTAATTAATAATGTTGTTCTCAATGCTTGAATCTCCCTTCCTCCTTCGGAGAGCAGATTGAAGAGCATGAACATGTTCCTTGAGTTGAAACATGTAATCCCTTGCAATACTACAGATATCTAAAAGCCTCACAGATCTATCCAACAATTCATCAATACATTGCTCGTGTTGATGCAGGCAGAGGACTTGTTGGGTCGAAGCCATGTTGAGAAGATCATCCATGCACTGATACAAGTCTTCCAGTCCCGAAAGACCAGCACAAATCGACTCAGATGTTGACAAAAGTGATGCTTCCCAAGTTTTGAGCCTGTTCAGCTCATCTTCAATTCTAAGGGTGGTAGGATGTGATCTTGAAGGCAAGCTAATTGATCTTACATGGTATTTGCCAGCCATTTTAAAAAAATTTTCTCTTTTCTAGATTTTCAGAGCTTGAACTTGAAATGGGTTTCTGTCAAATCAGTGAAAACCTATTTATATAGAGACATAAACAAGAAGAGATAAGGCAAGGGTGTTGAATGATAATGTGACCTTCATGTGAGCCAGCGTGGGCATCCCTTTGAGTTCGGATGCCTTGTCACGTCATCAACCAGCACACCTCAAATCATATTGCTGTTCATTTAATCCTCTCATAATGCTAAACTATGTATGAGGTGTCTTGTTATTTTGTCATTTCTGTGTTTCTTTATGCATGCATCCTAAAGAGTCATCACCTGTTTTGCCTCCCTTCCTGCCACATTACCCAACCATTTTCCAAGTTTAAGAATTGCAGCTGCCTGGCTTACCTGCTTTGTCTCCACTTGTAAGACCCTTTGAACAGCAAAAGGCATTGAATAATATTGTTCTCGAGATTGAGATCCAGATCTGTTGGATAAACCAACCACAAAGTGTATAATTTATAGCTTATTATAATTACAAGACCTTGATCATAGCATAAGAAGAGCCCCTTGTTTTTCTAATTTATTGTGTGCACGAGTGGCTTGTAGTACTCTTGTCTCCATCATTTTAACTATTTTACTAATAATGCTCCATTTTGAACTTGTTTAGAATCCTGCCTTATTTTCTTCCATTTTGATCATAGCCATCAGAAAGGCACACTTGGGTAAGGTAAGAACACGTGTTGTTAGGCATCTCAATTCTCAACACGTGTGTCAATAACAAGCTCTTTCCATAATTGAATTGGGTGAATCGGCATCTGGCATCTGGCTGTTTGGGACAGTTGCTGCTCTTTTAGGTATGAGGTAATCTGATGACAAAGGAGGGGAGAAGGGAAATAAAGAAGGCTAATAACAATCTGGAAACCAATTACCCAAAGCTCTTGAAAATATGAATTGCAAGGATTAGTTTAGGCTTGAAGCAATCATAGTTTGTAGAAAAGCAAGATGTTTTCAGTAAGATTTCAGAATCTAACCTTAATTACAGACAAACTTGGTAACTCTACTACCACTGATAAAGGGATTTTGTCACTGCTACTTGCCTTTGTTTTCTCATAGCATTTTCTTCTTGCCTCTAGTCTTTGGAAATTATAAAGAAGATTCGTCATTCCTTTAAAATGTTAATAAAATTGAAGGCATAATTAAAAAATAATATGACAGTCATCATGCCCTGTGATCGATTCTACAAGGTTAAACTCTGTTTAGTGTTCCAAAACAGGTGTGCTGGAATGCCGAAGTAGAAAGTCTAATCATTGCTTTTAACAGTTTCAAATCTGATCCATATATCATTCTCAGATCAGAGAAAACAGAAAGTTAGATGATGATCATGATATTTCTAAATACAGATTGGTATGAAAAATGGAGATTGGATATTGCATGAGAGAACTCAATACAGCAGTAATTCTATTTGTATTGTATTGACTTTCAGCTATAATGTAAATATACAACAGTTCTGCATCACCGGTGAGTGATGATGTTAAGGAAAGTGACCCTATTTTGGACTAGACACTTGAAAATGCAATCTAATCCAGCTTCGAAGCCATCGATGCTGGCATCAAGCGTCTTTAACATCTTCTGCATCATTTCCACTTCAGCCATGGTATCACCAATCTTTAAGTGTCCATTGATGGAGTAAACTGCAAGATCAACACTACCAACTTCATTCATCACATTCTGTTCCTTTTCAGAGGATAGTAATCTTGTGGGAATCAATTTTGAGATCTTTGGCCATCTTCCAACCCTTGCCTTCATTGAAGGCATTGACAGGAAGAGCAAAAGAGACTGAAAAACGGAGTTGGTAATGGAGCTTGCTTCTCTTAGGCCTTTGAACACCATTAACAGATGTTGATCTTCATCTAAGAGTGTTGAGGAACCAATTTTGCTTTCTATTTTCTTCAATGCTCCAAGGCACTTGGCTACTTCCTCTTTGACCTTCTTCCTGAAGTTGATGTAAGCTGCAACTTCGTTTTCAATACTTAAATCTCCACGCCTTCTGCGTAAAGCTGATTGAAGGGTTTGGACATGTTCTTTCATCTTCAACAGTAGGTCCCTTCCTTTGCCACAGGTGTCCAGAAATGTGACAGACTCATCTAGTGCCTCCTCCACAAGTTTCCCATTCTGATAGTGAAGAAGTTTTTGTTTGATTTGTGGAGAGCTAATGATTTCCTGAACACAATTGTACAACTCTACGACGCCCACTAGCTCAATCTGTATAGTCTCACCAGACGAAACCGCTGCTGTTGAATGTGAGGACGTTTTCCAGGCTTCCGAGTGATTTAATGCTGCTTCGAGTTTAACAGAAGTGGGATGTACCCTGGAGGGTAAGCTAATGGACCTAACAGGTTGGTGCACATCAAGCAACACAGGGAAGGCTGGCATTTTACTTTACTAATGCTGAAAGCTATCTCGGTGCTTGAATTTCAATGATTCATTAACCTATTTATAAGAACACGATGAATTAATGAACCCACGGCATATTCGTTTCAAGGGAGTAACTAACGCATGAGATGGCATTGTGGCTGACCTAACTTTCTGATTAACTTGTAACATTTTTTGCCAACACTATGTAACCCGTAATACTTTTTTATTCTTATGGTCATAGATAGTGCAACGTCGACCAGCCAGAAGATGTTAACACTCAACACAGGCCAGCACTGTAGCTGCATGCCTCTTTGCCTCCCCAATCATGAATGGTTACCATGGTCTAAACAAGAATTCATTATGATTCCTTGACAATAATTTGTTATATGGCTGAGAAAAAAAAACAATGTGTCATATGTAGAATCATCTCAGTCCTAATGCAAGTTAATTTTTGCAATTCATGTCTTCCTTCAAAGAACCAATAACGAGAATAGACTAAAGAATTTGGGTTACCTAAAGATAAGATGTTGCATCATTAAAAATTTCCTCTAGTCCTTGAATCTAGCCTTAGCTTTGCTACGGAATCTATAGGCAATGGTGGTGACTGTGCAGTTGGGTGTCCTCAGGAGACCAGGAGGCATGAAGCAGAAAGATTATTTTCTTTTATCTTGGAAATTGAAGGTATAAGCTAATGAAGATAACATTGCATAGAAAATTATGTGAGGTGGCAGCCTTGTTGGAAGGATTATGACTGTAAACCCATGTCAAAATTTATTCTCCTGTCTCCTCTAATTTTCTGTATCGTAACCAGCTCGTGAACCAGCAACAAGCACTAGCGAATCATGTTCCACAAATGAAAATTGGCACAACATGTGGTGTGGAACTTGTTGCCTACGTAAAATTGAAGAATCAGAAGAGATGTTGAAAACTTTGGGGTTGCTTTTCAACTAACGAAGGATGAGTAACAACTAGATAATGATTGGCTCTTCATTTTTTCCAGATACCAACGTTGCAAAATCACACGCCCATCTAATCAGTGACAAGCAAAGGAGCCTGTGCCTCACCAAATGGTTCAGTTTAGTCGGCCCCGCGAGGCACGAGGCATACATGTGAAGGACCTCAGTCCGGGGGTCAGTTGTTTTCTTTGTTCAACATGTGATATTGCAACAGAGGCGTGCAGAAAGCAATTGGCTTAGCAAAGTGAAGCGAAATTTCACTTTGTGGTTGATTGTCTGTAAAAAGTTTTGTGGTTTTCAAGGGTAGAAGGGTCTTCTCCTATTGTGTTGTGCTGCCATGAATTAATGTGTTTTGTTTAGGCAGGAATGTGCAGGTCTCTGCTTTATGGGAGTGTATAGTTGTCTGATTTTTGTGTAGTAAATTTTTGTGGGTAGTTGTGAGGAAGAGTTGGGGATTATACCTGCTTGTTGTGTCCAGGTATAGTCTTCAAACCATGGAGTCTGTTCTGATGTTCTTTCGAAGAGGATTTCTCCATCCTCATTAGCTATGAAACTACAATCTTTCAAAAAAAAAAGTGAAGCGAAATTTCATCTCTTCCCTATTTTTTTTTAAAATCAATAACATGCATGATGCTAGTTGATGAAACCTTTTTGCTCGTCTTTTTTGATTTGGTTGATGTCAGAAATGAATATCAAATTGTAACCCTCTTTTCTGTTTACAGAAAATAGTAAAAATCTCAAATTCTTTCTTGTCATCTTAACAGTTAAACACTGAACAATGAGGGCCATGACAGCCAAGGTTTGTTCTTCCTAAACCCAAAAAGACAGGCTAACAAATGAAATAATTTGAAGTCATTCATGCATATTCAATTAGAAAAGCTGGTTTGATTCTTATTATCCACTTCGTACTGCAATTTGCAAATTCATCTGTTCATAGAAAATAATTGCTATTTATTAATTGTTCGATTGACTCAAAATGGGGTACTCCATACTTAACCAGAAACAGAAACATTAATCTTTCCCACTTCTGATCAGAAGCTAGCCGACCATGCCTATATTTATTTTTTTTAAAGCCAAGCTGAGAAATGAGAAGCACGAGCCATTACTCCTTTGCCAGTCCACACTGAAATAATTGATAATATAACCTTCACATTTTTAATAATGAAATAATGTGCCATGTTTTAGGAGGCTCATTGGATCAAAATTAACAACCAAACTCCTTTTCGAAGTTTTGAACAAGAGAAAATCATCAAAACTTCTTGAAGCAAATTTTGATGTCTGAACTTTGAAGGAATAAATTGATCTCACTATCCCTTTGTTCTCCATGTGTAATGAGAAAATTTCCTAGATTGAAATCAACCATAAGAATTCTGGGGTTCAAGATTAATTTAGATTTTGATTATAATACTAGGTTGAATTTAAAGAATTGAAAAAAGGAAGAGAAGGGTAATGATGAATCTTATTTTATAGCAGAAAGAATGAATGAGTATCAAAGGTAAGGCTCTCTCCATTGCCATGTGACCAAGATACCTTTAATTATATAGCCAACCAAGTCACAAATATTCTGGCAAGATCAGGGTGGAGAATTAGGGACTAAAATGAAAAATGGGGTTGTGCCTGTTCTGATGCAGGAGAGGTGTGAACTCTGGATCAGGTTCCACGGCCTTTCATGTGAGAGCCTTCCGGGGACGAAATCAAGAGCCAGTTGCATGTGGCTAAAAGACTTTAAACTACTAAAACTTTTATGAAAACATGGAAAAATTATTGCATCCTCAAGGATATCGGCATTATTTTCTGTATTTGCATGTATAGGTTTCGTTTTGTTTGGTTAGCGAGAATCGCTTTGCTTGCGTGTATCTAGCTTTTTCCCTGACAACAACAAGCCAATGTGTAATATCTGTAAATAATTAACACATGTTAGGAGCTAAGTCCTTTTTTCAAGTGGCAGTTAATCAATGAGAATTAGCACTAATTTAATCATTGTACATTGGGAACCTTTTAGTTTTTAAGTGTTGTTAGTCACCCTTTGTATTCTTCTGTTTCTCTTTGTATGCTAGGCAAATTAATTACAAGAATTTACCATGGCAACGTTTTGAGTTAGAAAGATGTAGACAATGGACATCAAACTGGCAAATCTTGCATTTGCACTTCATCAATGAGATTGAAAATATCAAATTCTCTTACAAACCTGGTTCTTGAACATGGACCAATCCTTTAAAATGCAGATGCAATGAAAAATGTGGGTGTACAATGTTATAGTATCTAACAAGGTGTGAGGATATTAAGTAAGGACACTCTATTTCTGATCAGGCATCTGAGCAGGCGATCTAAACCTGCCTCAAGACCTTTGATGCTACCGGAAAGTGTCTCTAATCTCTTTAATTCAATCTGAGGATCAATCTTGGCATCATTTTTTCGGAGTTTCCCTTGCACAGAATGCAGGATAAAGTCGACGATCCCCACCTCATTGAAAATCTTCTGGCTTCCCTCGGCTGTAATCGGTACCAATTTTGAAATCAAAGACCATCCTCCAGCTTTTGTTTTCAGTACAGGCATTGAAAGAAATGACAGGAGGGATTGAAATAGAGAAATAGTGATGGCATGGGATTCTCTCTGTGCTTTTACCACCATCGATAGATGGCAATCCACATCAAAGAGAGGAAAGGTGCCAATGTTGCATTCCAACCTCTTCAGTACTCTAAGGGTTTTGGCAATGTTCTTTTGCAACTTCTTTCTAAAGCTGATGTAAGCAAGGATGTTGCTTCCGATGCATGAATCTCCGCCCCTCCTACGTAAAGCTGACTGAAGGTCTTGTACTTGCTCCATCATCATCAATATTAGGTCTCTTGCGGTGCCACATGCATCCAGCAATCCGACCGAGTCATCGAGTGCCTCCTCTACTAGTTTCACGTTTTGCTGATGGCGAAGAGCTTGTTGAGTGAGTGGAGACTGTACGATTTCCTCAATGTTGTTATACAACTTTGCAAGCCTGGTGAAACCTGTACAAATTGTCTCACCACCTCCATGAATTGTTCGTGAAGCTGACAAAAGTCTGAAAGTGTTCAGCTCGTTCAGCTCTGCTTCAATAGAATTAGGCTGCAACCTGGATGGCAAGCTAATGGACCTGACTGGAACATTCGATCCATGAATTACAGATAAGACTGCCATATTTACACAGAAAAAGAGCTTGAAACACTGAATTTTGAAAGGTCAAAATATGCTCTGACACCCATAGTTTCTTCTATCTATTTAGAAGAAAAGCAATTCCATGCCAATGCCTAATCATTGGGGAGTCGCCCTACAACTGAAAGATCCTTGTTGCATATTTAGCCTGCAACCTGCAATTATTATCATTCTTTAATGTTACGTTCAAGAGATGAACAATGTATGGGTTGGATTAATATTTGTTTCTGATCCTCAAATTGTAAACAACTTGTAGAGGCCGTGAGAGCCGTATGCTGCCTTGCCTCCCCAATCATTGCTGCGGAACCTTCTCCCCAACCAGTGTTCATTCATGTCCTTAAAGATTAGTTTAGGAACATTGAAAGGCTGGCATTTCATGATTGCCTAATAGTTTAGAACCAAAGATACCAGGCCAGTTGACCAAGGATAGCGGGAAAAAAAACATTAGAATAAGAAACTCGACGAATTGGGACCTGATTTTGCACAAAGCTAGACCCCAAGGCAAAGAATCTAGGGCGGCCACGACATGCAACAAAATCCCAAAGTTGCACTGAATTCTAGAGCAACTTGTAAGCAACTACACTGAGACACAGATTGTTTATTGAAAAAGACATTAGTTTTTATAGACATGGAAGACAATGTAAAACTAAACAGAAACAATAGAGTAAGAAGGTTTTTGTTGAAAGAGGGCCAAACGGGCGGCAGCTTGTTGGCAACGAGAGCCACAAGAGTCTAATACTGTAATGCAGAAAATCGCATGCATCACATGCTACGTTTCAGAGCTAAGGAAGCTCTGATTCTCCTTGTCTCCCATGATTTTCCGTATCCTTAGTCAATAAAATAATGGGACAATTTTTTTTTTTTAAATTAAGAGAATCATTTCATTCTATAGAACTATTACTTGCAATTTACAAAAGCAGACAATTATCAACTGGCGTTCTTCCAGTCAATTACTCCTTTTTCCTCGTTCGATAAATTGATTTGAAAAAAATTTTGGTGAATTTACATCAATCTACTATAAGTTTTGTTGTCAAGATTTCGGTGTAGGTGGAAACGCTGAACGTATGGCCGATGTACATGATCACTGTCAAGATTATTTAGGTACTAAATCCACCATATCCACACTTGTCGTACCATATTTTCGTTGATCTTGTTTTTTAATTTGATTTTGTGATTATGTTTTCATGGTCAAGATTACAAATAAATGTACCTGGTGGTACGCACGGGCCCCACAAAATATATAGAAGATTTAGACACGATCATTGCCGGTAAATGCATGATTCTGGTTCATATGATCAGATAAGACAAAAGCATACATGCATCCTCCCGGGTAAGGAACACAGCATTGCATAACATGGAAGACGAATTAAATATTTCCATTGCGTATGCACCAAGAACCCAAAAAGACAAAGAGCGTCAAACAGGGAGTACTTAGTCAGAATCTAAACTTATTAATCTCTTTAGCTTAGCCCAAAATAAGGACAGAAAGTAACAATATTCTAGCAGCTTTCGTCGGAAGGAACGGAAAAACTGGATTGTGCCCATGGAAATAGCAGAAGTGGAGAACAAACAGGTGAAGACCACATAGAACAAGCTAGAATTTAGACAGGATGAGAGACTTCTTATGTGTCAATTATGAAAGATTCCATTCAAGCTATCTCACGAGACACTACCATCAAGTACTAATCAGAGGGTATCCCTGGTGAGGATAACACTAAAGACCAGAAACTGTCGATTATCAATTCATACTATTTGGCAATAAAACAAAATCAAAGGCCAACATTATGCAAATCAATTTGTTAGAATATTGAACAGCAATGTCTTCAATAGCATAATTAGTGTTTTCTCATACATCTGATTAGCAGCCAAAGATCATAAAAACTAGAGCAATTAAGTATACAACATCAAATGAGAAAAGAAGCAATTAGCACAACTCCAACAATTACATATGTACATTTGAAAGTATAGATGACTTCATCATGGCAACTTCATGTGCACATTCAATAATGCCCTTGTAGTAATGGAAATTATGATATGCCACTAGCCAATTTTGCCATATAATATAGGCCCATTTTATCCATAAAGTAGATGTCAAAATTGTAATAATCAAAAAGAACTACAAATTAAAGAGACTGAAAGAATATGCTTGTTAGACCACAAGCCCTTGTTCTCTAGCTTTCTTCAGCCACTTAAGGGTAACCTCCAACGTCGAGTAAGCAGCAACATCAGTTAGACTTTTACTCTCAACAGCATAATCAAACACTTCATATGCCTCTGCGACCCTGCCCTCCCTACAAAGTGCCCTCACAAGAGTAGCATAGGAAGCCTTCTCAAGCATCATACCAGCTGACTTCATTGCCCCATATAACTCCATTCCTTTCTCCATCAATCTCCCCTTGCACAACCCATGAAGCAGCGTATTATAAGTGCATGAATTCGGGCTACACCCCTTTCTTTCCATCTCCTCCAACAAAAGCACTGCACCCAATGCATTTCCTTCCCTACACATTCCATTCATCAAAGATGTATATGTAACAGCATCTGGAAAATGCCCTGATTCAACCATGATATCCAAATACTTTCTAGCTTCTTTTACTCTCCCAGATTTTGACAACCCAAAGATCAAAGTATTATAAGTCACAAGATCAGGCTCAACACCCTCCTCTTTCATTTTCTTATAAACCTCAATTGCCTCACTCCCTTTACTCAACATACAATGTCCTTTCATTATAGTATTATAAACAAAACAATCTGGCTTAAACCCTGACTCATTAAGCACACCAACCAATCTCATTGCCTCTCGTAAGTTCTTTGAATTACAAACATTATCAATTAATATGGTATAAGTAACAAGATCAGGCTTTATACCAAAAAAACTCTTCAAATCATCAATAAAACCATAAACCGTACTTAAAGTTCTACACTTGCATAAATTCTTAACAAGAAAGTTGAACGTAAAATTATCAGGCGGAGAGTGCTTTAAAGAAAGTTCTTTTACCAATTCTACAGCATGATCAATGCGTCCTGCTTCGCAAAGCGATCGGATAGCAACATCAGTGGTGACCTGATTGGGTTTGAGCCCATTAGTTACCATCAGATTGAGGGTCTGGTGAACAGGGGAGAGGGAGGAATCCGGTGCTTTGCAAGATTGAGAGAGCAAGATGTGGTAAGTTGATCGGTCAGGGGAAAATGAAGGGTGGGCTTTGACCATGTGGTGAAGAAGAGAGATGGAGTCATTGACGGTGGATACTGAGGCATAAGACTGTAAGAGAGTGTTGTGGAAGCGAAGATCAATCGGGGCCTTCTTCGTGGCAACGATTGAATTGAAAACTTTCATGGCAGATGAAAGGTCTGGAGATCTGAATAGGGGTTCAGCTTTGCGGGATCCTAGGGAAGCTTGGGCTTTCTTAGAATGCTGGGATGGTCTTTTCTTGGTGGTTTTCCCAGGAAACTGATGGGGAATTGCTGTTGGAGATTCTAAAGGCTGCCTTTTAATGAGAGAATTTGAGATTGCTGGACGAAATGAGGGTGGAATCTTTCCCATTTCTTCTTCTTCTTCGTCTTCTTCCCTTTGAATGGGATTTGGGAGTTAGGGTTTTTGCAGGGTTCTAGGAAGCCGGAAGAAATATGTGAATATGGGCTGGGTATGTTTGTTTCTGGTTCAACTTCACCAAACCCAATTTCCTTGCGGGGCCCAATTGTTTAAATCAAACTTCTTCAAATCAGCCCAAAGAAATGTTGTTGAACTGTTAACATAATATTTAAAATAGAATTTTAAATTATTTATAAAAATTTAAATTAAATTATTTTTATTTTAAATTAAATAAATTTTTATTTTTTTATTTTGAATCAAATAAATTTTTATAACTAATAATTCACTTAATAAAAAAATTATTTATATCTCAAAATATTAACATGATATGTTAATATATTATAACGGATAATAACGTAACGTGTTGATATAACATAATGACATCATAATATTACATTTTTCACTCTTTTTATATTTAGTTAGAAGATAAATTCAAAAAAAGCTTTTAATCTTGAATTTGAGTTTGAATAAGTTACAAGAATAACCCTTAAGATACTTCATACTTGAACTCAATTATATATATAGTATTTCAAAAATTTATAATTTGTAGGATTCAAATTTTTATCCTCATTACCTTCATCACAACTTTTGCTAACTTAACTCTCTTTTTTTTTTGTAAATTAATAACTATAAAAATAATTTTTATATAATTTTTAGTTCTTTAAATTGTTATTTGAATTATTTAATCAAGTATTTAACGGATTCGGATAATTAGTGAATAGTATTATATTATTAAGATTAATTTTGAATAATATTTCATAATTTTAATTAGATTTTAATAAAAATTAACTACTTTTTTATTAAATAAATTCGAGATCAAGTATCTCTGAAGAAATGGATACCCTTCCGTTTAGACCTTTGATATACATTTAGAGACGAGAGGAATATTCCTTTATCTAGATAAGAAGTTTCTTGTTTTGTTCAAACAACACATTTTGGACTGAAAATGAGACCATTAAATAAATGCTCAAAATAACTAAAACAATAAATTTGTGGGCCATAATGTTGTTTACTGACACAGTGATGATGGCCAGCTGCCTCAGCGCGTGGCCGTAGAGTGTGGGCTGGGAAAATTCCCTCTGGTGTCTTAAAAGTTTGACCAATAGGTTCGACCTGCTCGAGACCAACGGTTCAAGGAAGTGAATCCAATCTGCAATAAAACTAAGTAAATATGCTCGAAGCTGATCTTATAACCAAAATTGGCGATATTGTAATAAATTATTTTTTATTAATAATTTGGATTTCGTTTAATTAATTTTTATTTTTATTTATTTTAAAAAATTATTCCTTTTGGTTTTGTTAATTCTTGAAAATTAAAAGAGCAAGTGATTTTCTCAAAAAAAAAAAAAAAAGGCAAGTGATGGTGAAGCTTGGTTGAACTTATCCAATTCAATTTCCTTGTTGAGGAAAACTGGTTTTCAGATTTTAGCATAAACATAATGTATTAATAAATAAATAAATATGAATATGATATTTTTAATTGAACATGCCAAGAACTTAATCGAGTGGATAGACATATTTATTAAATGTATTCTACAACACAACATGATTGATGATTTATTTAAATAATATTAATATAATGTTAACATGTTTAAATTTGTTTGTAATGAAAGAACTTGTTTAAATTAAAATATTTTTTATTGATAAAACATATAACTCTGTTACTAAAATTCAAAACTAATAATAATGAAATAACTATAACTAATTAGGCATGTTAAAATTAATTGTTTAAAACCATTTTGACAAAGTGAGATATCATTAAATACTTATATTAAACAAGGTTATTATCAAAGTATATATATGGGTGGACATAATAAACCAATTAGTTAAACAAATTTTAAACGGCTTGCACATCTTTGTAATAAAAATTTATAACTTAATTCAGTAACTAAATTGGGTCGAGTTGGAAGAAAAGTGAAGTTAATAATGTTCGGAAATAAAAGAACAAAAGTGGACTTGACTTGTTGAAATTTCTAACAAATATATAATTAAATAAAACATGGTTTGTTTGTGTGTGTGTTTCATGTGTTTTGGATCCAACATTGCCTCGTGTGTGGCGCTGTATTTAGTCTTTTGCGAAGTTTCACATCTATTTCCAGCATAGTCTCCAAACTGTCCTTGTCCTTTGACGTGTCATTCTCAAATAAGTAAAAAAAGACAAGAGCTTCCACAGACAGCTTGTCAATTCAAAATCAAATTTTAAGGCTTGATGTTTGACCATAACTCCGTCTCTTTTCTATCTTCTTCAAATCATTAATGTTACATGATTTCTCATTTTCAAATTAAAAAGTTAAAATTAAGGAAGTCGTGGAAACTTGAAATTCTATCTTTTAAGACGTTTTTAATTAAATCGGTACAATATGTATCACTATATTTTTCAAAATAATAGTTCTTCTATTTCTCAGTACTAAATAGGTTTTTCTTTTTTCTGTCAAAACCTAACGTTTTAAGTTGAAAATGAGACTGCTCTAAAAGACAAAATCAATCAAATAATGAATATAAGGATAATAAAAACAAAAACAAAAACAAAGACAAAGACCCTGTCTGAGGAAAAAGACAAGGTGGTAGTAACAGACTGCACATGCAGCTACCTCGATGTGAATCCTTTTCCACTGGAAAAAGTAAGAAGAAAAATCATACACGTTCTTTAATTTTCAAATTATAAAGTTTTCATCCAAAAAGGAAAAATCAAAAGATCAGTTGAAATAATTTGTTGTTAAATATTGAGGGAAAAGAGTTTCTTTTGTTTTCTTTTAATTTTTCTCTACATTTTTATTTTAACAGTTTCAATTAGCAATTTGATTTTATATCTCACATTGACATGTCAAAAAGAAAAGCCGTTGCACAAATATAATAAAGAAAATGGGTTTGGAAAATAAAGTTCAAATACTTCTTTATTGACTCCTCATCCTTTGGTCATACATATTTGCCCTTTTCCTGGAACATACAGCATGTGCCTTCTATGTACATTGATTCTAACCATTCCGTCCGGATTCACTTATTTTTTTGTTTTTTAAATAAAGGCACGTTATTATTGCCAAAAAAAAAAAGAGGGCACCATATTAGGAGAATGTAGTATAATTTTCTTGAAGTTATTTAGAATTGAAGAAAACTCTTTAATCAAAATTTTTAATTAAAATGATTGTTATGTACTATATATATATATTAATATACCAATATCGAACAGTTTTTTATATATATATGTATAGGAACCATTTAGACAAACTTTTCGTTACCCAAGGAAAAAAAACTTTAAGGCCAATTTTTTGTTGTGTGAAATATAAAATAACATGAAAAATGTTTTAATAAAATGATTTTGTTGAAAAATTTAGACCCACTACTTAAGAGTAGGGAATTTTCTATCTCTGTTTAATATTTCGTTGGATATCTCCTCGTAATTTTATATCACGTTTTTCTTAAATTTTTCATATTATAACTTAAGATTTAAGATTTAAAATGTAAATTTTTTATTAATAATATAAAATTAAATACGTAAAATTATGCAAGAAGCACCAAACGTCACAGGAAGTGGAGGTGGAGAATTTTTATTCCATTAGTTGTGTTGTCGTTTTCCTCAGAAAAAAAAATAAAAATTTCTTTTGTAAAACACATTTTTAGGAACGTGTAACCTCTGGGATCCCTAGGCCCCCCCCTCTCCGAGAATTGCGTGTTGAATTCCCCTTGTAACTATTTAAAGACCAGGCGTGGCCCATGTTTCACTCACTTCCAAGTTCCTAAATAACGTTGCCAAGTTTAAGATTTTTTCCCAGCAACTTAACCATCTTGAAAACAACAGACAGAGAAAAGTCCTTGGAAAGTGTCTAGGTAAATATACGACGAAGAAAACAAACTTCCCTGTTCAGGGTTTGCCATCAACATCAAGCTAGCATGTGAGACCCACTGCATGCTGGAATCATAACGTTCATCAAATTTTTTCCACATTATAGGAAGACCTTGGTCTTCCCTTCTGAAAATCATTCGCCCATATATAACCCTGTTAGCCTTGAGAGAGAAGCAAACCCGACTTTATTTGACTTCACTGTTTCTTGGAAGTTGTTTTAATATGGAGAATGTTACTCCGGAGCTTGCATTATTACCAGGATTTCGCTTTCATCCCACCGAAGAAGAACTTGTAGACTATTACCTCAAGGGAACCGCTCTGGGTAAAATTTTTCATTCCGACATCATTGGTTTTCTCAACATTTATAAACATAACCCTTGGGATTTGCCAGGTAACGTTTAAGCTCTGTTCTCTTCAGTCTTCACCCTGTTGTATTCTTTGTGGTACGTAGTAATTTAGTTAACGACTTTGTAACAAGCATGGTGAGGAAATAAGTATGTGTACTGGTGTCTACTTTTTCTCGAAAGCATTGTCATCATGGCCTGTAACTTAAGCTGGTTAATTTGTTGGAGGACTCTCTGCAGGTATGGCAGGGATAGGAGAGAGAGAGTGGTATTTCTTTGTGCCCAGAGAAAGAAGGACTGGTCATGGCGGAAAGCCCAACCGGACAACTGAGACGGGCTATTGGAAGGCAACTGGGTCAGACCGTCACATCAGATGCCCCAAGGAGCCCCGAAAGATAGTGGGCCTAAGAAAAACTTTGGTTTTCTACACAGGGAAAGCACCGAAAGGCTGCAGAACTGATTGGGTCATGAACGAGTACAGACTCATCTCCAACACCACCATTGCTACGGTACTATACACACACACACACACATTTGATCGTCAACTGGTTTCGTTCATCTGTTTATATATACATATATATGAATGTAGTATACTGGCTAAAACATGACCATGCATATCATGTGAATAATTCAGGAGGATATAGTACTGGCCAAGATTTACAGAAAGGCAACATCATTGAGGGTGTTGGAGCAAAGGGCCGAAGAACTTGTCAGGACATCTCATCAAAGCCTTCCTTCAAACGGTGCTCCTCAAAGTAACTTTGATGCGCTATTGTCCCTCCAAGACCTTGATTTTGGAGCAGAGAGGGGAGAGGAATTATTCGAAGCAGCAAAGAAGGAATTGCATAAGGAAGCTAATTCTGAATCCTTAATGCGAGTTGGATCCATGCCAGCAGCGGAGCCCATCATGGACTGGACATCGGAATCAATATGGGCTCATCTGAGAAGTCCCAGTTCTTATGCAATGTGGTGAACAAGTAATTGGAATTAGGCATGCATGTGGCTAGTATATTATAATAAAGATATGGGTAGTTAATTTATGTAATCAAACTTAAACGCATGCATGCAATTTAATTTGCATCATCCATGCAGGGTGGTCGTATTGGATGCTGCGCTGCTTGCATGGCTAGCTAGTAGGTGTAGCCGGTTCTTGTGCAGTTGTAATTTCGTTTTAATTAATTAGCCTGCTAATTTGATCCTGGTATCGAAAAACTGATGAGATAGACAACTCGAGAGTTAAACACAAACTCTTAATTTACTCAAATATCAGTTTGGATTGAAATTAAACGTTTGGGATGTATATTTGTTGTTCAAATTAATTCAAACCAATCTTTTTCAAAAGCCGAACCCCCAGAAATACGATATGCTAAACTCTCGTCTTATCATTAGGCAATTTTAGCAGCGGCCGGCAAAGTGCACAGCAAGAAAATCATTGATTGTTGACTTGAAATGTGCCTACTTTTATAATTTTTTAAATTCATAAATTCGGTACCGATAAATTTAAAATATCAAAGAAAATTTTGAACTCATTTTCTTATTTGATGCACTTTTAAATGGAGAGAATTTTAAACTCGTTTTTTTTATACTCTCTCAAATATTTAAGTATATTAAATTTTATGTTTAAATTATGACTTGGTCATATAAGAAGTCATTTCTTCCAAAGAAAAAATCTAGTAATCTGATCATATATTTATTGTACCGTCCTTAATGATGAAAGTGATGTATAGTCTTCTATAGAAAGAGAGCACATCCACATAAAAATGATCAATTTTGTTACGGAAAACTTGAACTTAATTATAGAATACGTGATTCTTATGTAATTGGAACGGATAAGCTTGGTGTACCCTAAATACACATTACCATCCCTAGGTCCTCGTCACAAAGATATATAATGAGCAACCAAACTTAAAAAGAGCTGGCTTTTATTTTATTGATATGATAATTATTCAGAAGATAAATATCTCAGCGAGCTACATAGGAATAGATCACTAGGAGATTATTTTTAATAAAGTGAGAATTTTTTCATAATTAACCAATGTGCCTAAGCAAACGGCCTTTGGTTGTAGCAGTCCAGGTTGCCTCCATAGCTCACTTGCAGTATGTCACAGTATCTCTTGTAGAACCCGATGCGATCCTCAACCTGAGGGTTGGAGCCTTTTCCACATTCGATGCCCCCGTTGATGATATTTGTGATGACCCCATATCCAGGGACCCGACCGGCGGCAGTGTCCTGGGCGGACGGCGTCCACTTCCTGGTGATGACATCGTGACATGAAGGTTTTGGTGACTGTGGGGTCATCCAGAACCAAAGAGCTGTCTTGAAAGAAATGGTGGGGTCCCTTGCCACGGCGTCGGGGTCGTTCAGCAGATCGACGTTTATCGCTTTTCCTGCTGGACCGTAGTTGTAGTTGCTGCTCAAAGTCAAGGTCAAGGTCGAGAATGTAAAATACACTTTTCATAGTTAAGACTGAGTTAAAATTGAATATATAATCAATAAAAGAAAATGAATATATAATTTTTTTCGGTCAGAACTCTGATGGACCACTTACTATGAAATCTGGATTGGGCCGCGGCCGTAATATTTTTTACCAGGGACACAAGGCCATTCTTGACTTGCAACACAATAATCTCCAGGGTTGCCTTGTTCCTGGACAAAGCAATATCCCCATGCGTATGGACCATCCGGCGCAGTTGCCCACCCACCTATACAAGAATCATGAACCCTTTAACTAGTTTTGCCAGCCACACAAATAATGTCAACGGACCATTAAGCCAGGCAATGCATGACTAATTTTATAGAGACAGAGAAGTTACACATTTTCATGGTTAGAAAATATGGAATGAACCTGTAGTTTCATGGGACGTTTGAGCCAAGAAGGCAGCAATCTCTCTTTTACGAGTATCAACATCGCCAGTGGTACCGAAAGCGCCAAAGGAGTTGGCAGCAGCAATGAAACCATCGTAAGTATAGAAACCATTGCCAGGGCAGTTTGCATCGTTACGATGCTTCAACATCTCATTGAACAGGTCTCGGCTGATAAGCGGAGTGATATCAGCCAAGGCCCTCGAAGCAGAGGCCAAAATGCACGCGACCAGGAGAGTCAAAAACCTCATTTTGTTGTTGCCTAGCTAGCTATGTATAAATTTGAAGTGTTTTATGTATGGGCTGTGGATTCGCAGTGAAAACCAGGCCGTATTTATAGCCTGATCGGTAGAGAGATTTCTGGCCAAACCTTATCGTTTCTTCTAGAGACGATGGCGGCATTTATCATAACAAAATGGAAAGTTGATGGTTGCTTGAGAGCTTGTTTCTTGACTAACGAGAGAGGGCGAAGCAGGGTCGGTTTTGATTTTTTTTCTAATAAGAGATGGAAAGTCTATTTTCTTAGTCCAAGCTTATCTTGACATGCCACTAATTTGGAATAAGTTAAAACCCCATTTTGCAAGAATTCGTACGTTTCTGTGTTTACAAGTGGAGTTGATTGCGGAAAGAAACATTTCCAGGTAGGCGGCCAGGGTAAAAAAGAACAAATCTGATCCCGGTGTGATTAAGAACTCAAGGAGTGAATAGCAAAAGCCTAGCTAGCTAGGTACGTACTTGAACAAAATAAAGTGCCCTCACAGGAAGGGCAATCCATGAAATCACTTTCAAGGTTTATTTTTTGGGGATATACCTTTTGAAAACCGGAAGAGTTTTATACTTGGTTCTTTCCATCTCTATTTTGTTTTTGTGATAGTAATCTCGAAATCCAATTTTCAGAATTGCAGAGAAATTTAAATATCTCCACCCATCCAATGATTGTTCAATTAGTAGTTGTTTCATAACATCAGGGACAAGTTGGAAGTAATGACCATAGAGAATAAGAAACCTTCAACTGTGCAGTTGAAACAGAGAATATGGAAAGTTACAAGAATCCAAACTCCAGGGTTCAAGAAATCATTTTTCCAATGATAATTTTGTTCACCAAAAGGGTTGGCAACTGTATCAGGCTGACTAATTATAGATATACCAATTATCTACGCATACATACATGTAAAATTTATAAATTTACTCCACATATATTCCACAGATATTTTTCCTTTTTATTGGATGACAAATTTTCCAGTAATTATGTAGAATTAAGGATTTAAATTCTATTTTTCAAACAAGGGATCATATATCAACAATTGAATCAAGTATTTAAGTGAACAATTTTGAAGGATATGAAAATTATTTTTATTGGAGAAGAAATCTCCTACAAAATATGAAGAATTATAGGCCAAAAGAAAGAAATTGATCAAAATATATATCAGATTTTTGTTCTCATATATTTTGCTCAATTTAATTTTTATACTCAAAATCAAAATAATTTAATCTTTTGATTTTGAAAGTTGTTTTAATTTAGTCCATCTCTTTAACAATTTTACTATTAAAGGGGATGACATCAATGCTGAAATGGTGTCACTACAAGAAAATTGATTTTTTTTTGACAAAAAAAATTTCGTTTGGAAATTTTTAACATAATTTCAATGAATTTTTCATTGGAAACAGCTATTGCCACTGAATTTTCCAATAGAATATTCTGTTAAAAAATTTGATCAATATTATTGTTTTTTTAATTTTTATATAAAACATATTAATTTTTTTTAAAATTTTATTAATATTCTATAAAAAATTAATAAAATTAAGTATATACACATTGAGTTTTATATTATTAAAAATTTAAATAAGTTTCCCTGTGGGGTCATCCAGAACCATATGGATGTCTTGAAGGGTATGAGTGCGTTCGTGGCTACAAGGTCCGGATTGTTTATGAGGTCTTCTCTAATGGCGATTCCAGCTGGCCCATAGTTGTAGTTGCTGAGGAAAGTTAAGAAGTTGGGTCAACAACAATGATTTGTTTAGACAAATCATATTCCGATTAACGACGGTGGAACTTACTGAGTCAGTTGGATGGGTCCTCGGCCAAAGTATTGTTGACCAGCAGCTGTAAATAGTACAATAAGGTGCAGGGGGGGGACTGTTCCCTTATAAAGCAATATCCCCATCCATACGGGCCATCTGGCGCAGTTGGCCATCCACCTGTACACGAGATAATTACTCTATTGCAGTTAATTTAATATAATAATCCGCACAGCACTAAATCTTTAACAAAGGCCTGTTGCTAACCTGTAGTTTCATGAGAGGTTTGACTGAAGAAAGCCGTGAGTTCCTTCTTTCATGTGGTAAGGTCACCGGTTGTGCCAAATCCACCAAAAGATCGAGCAGCAGCAATGAAAGCATCGTAAGTATAGAACCCATTGCTGGGACATCTTCTATCATTTCGATATTTAAGAATTTGATCAAAGAGAGATGGAGTGATTATGCTGCTAACATCATTGCCACCCGTGGGGGGTGGGGGTGAGCCATGACACTGGCCCTGGCAGCCAGCTCCATAGTAGTTAGGCGAGTCGCCACACCACCCATACAGGCTGCAGCACCGCCCATTCGCACATAGAGCACCTCTTGCTTGGATTCCGCACTGTTGTGCAGATACCCCTAGCAAGAAAATTTCTAGAGTACTCACCGTCAGAAGAGCATACAACTTCATCCTCTGTATCTCGAGCCTTGACAGTGTGGGTTCTGGATTGAAATTGGAGCCTTTTATGGATTACTTTCCTCGGTTTTCTTTTGACTATTCTATTAAAAAAGGGCTGGCTTACGCTTACTTAGTGGACCTTTATCTTAATAATTTTTGTCTCATTACGTGTGTCACAGAGCTTGAAACTTTAATCTAAGAATTGAGTGGCATTTAAACTTGTGTATCTAAAAATTAATAAAGCTTAATTTTAATTATTTGTAAATAATGATATTGATGTGAAAGTTAAAAGAGTCAATTCGGTTTGTAAAATAAAATAAAATAAAATAAATATTTTGTGAAAATAAAATAAAGATGAAATAAAATTGAAATTTATTATATAATTTGATTGATGAATGGAAGTAAGCCAAGAATTATTTCTTTTCTCAGTCAAATGAAATTTGTATTAAAATCACTAAAACTACAGTGTAAAGATCAGCCCATATTTGGGATCAAAGCCAAGATATACAATGAAGGTATAAGCCTAGTGGTACTAAGTGCTATTAAACAAAAGATTCGATTATTGGTGCTTAGTATCATAAGATAATACAAAAGTTATAAACAAATCAAACTATTAACATAAAACAAAAGGCAGCAGCTCAACCCAAAAAAGCATCAAAAGTTAGCTCTCGTGTTTCTATCAACTTCAAATTTCACTGGGGAATCTTCAAAACAATTACTTTCTTGTAAAGGACACCATGCCTATTGAAAGAACAAGTGCATCAATCTTATTAAATAAATACCACTAATCCTAAGGCCTTGTATCAATGTTGATCACCTACGATAGTGCATTTTTGGAATCAGATTCAATAATCAACTTATAACGTGTAAAGGAGGAATGGGAGAAAAGACTGTAGTACATGAAGAATGGCCATAAGCACTATAAACTTGTCTCGAGGCAAGAATTGCTATTATGACTTATTGTAATGTTTGATTGGTAAAATTTTTTTTAAAATAATAGGGAAATAAATGATAAAAAGATAAAATACTCTTTATTATAATATATGATAATTTATTTAAAATATTAATAATTGATCATTTAAATATTATTTTAATTAAAATATTAATAATTTTAATTAAAACTGAAATTTAAAATATTATTTTTATACTATATAATTAAAAATTTAAACTACTTATTTTAAATTCTTTTTATTATTTTCTTTTTTTATAATAAAAATATTTTTATATAAGTAGGATTGTAATTTTTCAAACTTGTAAGGGAATTTTGATCTTTATCATTTTTTAAAACTATTCCTTAGTCGTAAAATGCTTAATACCAAGGGGTTGGTATTAGCTATTCTTTTGGTTTTAATTATTTTGGAGAATAGCCATTCTATTCCTTAGAGTATCATAGAGAAGGAATGGCCAAACATGCCATTAAGGGAAAAATAATTATATTATTTTTAAGAGAATGAAAAATACGTTATGACACATTTGGTCTGTAGAATAAAATAAAATTGAATAGAAAAGGTATTCTATGAGAATAGAATAGGGTAGGAATAAAATCAAAACGTTATTATATAGTTTGGTTGATGGAATATAACAAAGTACAAATTGCTATTATAACTTATTACAATATTTGATTAGTAAAAATAATTTGATTAGTAAAATATTAATTAAATTATTAATATTTAAATTATTAATTATTTTCTTTCATTTTATTTTTAAATATTAATAATTTATAATTTATTAAAAATATATATAATTGATAATTTAATCATTAACATTTTAAAATATTAATATCTTATTTATAATTGAAATGTTTTTAGATTAAAATATTAAAAATTTTAATTAATTTTATAATTTAAAATATTATTTTTATTATATATAATTAAAAAGTTAAGCTTTTTCTTTTTTATAATGATATTAATAATTGATAATTTAGATATTTGTATTTTATTTGTACTTTAATCATTAACATTTTAAAATTTTAATATTTTATTTAAAATATAAATGTTATTATGATTAAATATTAATAATTTCAATTAATTTTAAAATTTAAAATATTTATATTTATATTATATAATTAAAGATTTAAGCACTTTTCAAATAAGATATCATGTATCATAATTGAGTGTTTGAGTGCACAATTTTGAAAGATAGGAAAATCTTTTTATTGGATCTCTTACAAAATATTTAAAATTATAGACCAAAAGAAAGAAATTACATTGATTTCCCTCTAAATTGGTTATCAATTTTTTTATTTTCTTCAGTTAAATAAAGCCTGGTACATTATTCCCTTGGAGCGTCCAGATCGATTTAGCCAAAAGGCCTTTGGTTATAGCAATCCAAGTTGTTTCCGTAGCTTACACCCAATAAGTCACAGTACCTCCTGTAGAAACCAATCCTACTAGCCACCCTATTATCAGGACCACGACCGCACTCCAGGCCACCGTTGATTATGTTTGTGATGACACCATAGCCAGGGAGCCGGTTTGCTGCCGTGTCCGCAGCAGACGGTGTCCATCGCCCGATTATTACGCTATGGCTTGATGGCTTGTTTCCCTCCGGGGTCATCCAGAACCATATGGCTGTCTTGAAGGATATGATTGCATTCGTGGCTACAAGGTCAGGATTGTTTATGAGGTCTTCTCTAATGGCGTTTCCAGCTGGTCCATAGTTGTAGTTGCTGAGGAAAGTCATGAAGTTTGGGTCAACAACAGTGATTCATTAGACAAATCATATTCCGATTAACGACAGAGGAACTTACTGAGTCAGTTGGATGGGGCCTCGGCCAAAATATTGTCTACCAGGAGCACATGGCCAGGCGCCGGGAGTACAATAAGGTCCAGGGGGGGACTGTTCCCTTATAAAGCAATATCCCCATGCATACGGGCCATCTGGTGCAGTTGGCCATCCACCTGTGCTCGAAATAATTACTTTATTTCAGTTAATTTAATATAATAATCCTCACTGCACTAAATCTTTAACAAAGAGCTGTTGCTAACCTGTTGTTTCATGAGAGGTTTGACCGAAGAAAGCCGCAAGTTCCCTCTTTCGGGTATTAAGGTCACCGGTTGTGCCAAATCCACCAAAAGATCGAGCAGCAGCAATGAAAGCATCGTAAGTATAGAACCCATTACTGGGACATCTTCCATCATTTCGATATTTAAGCATTTGATCAAAGAGAGATCGAGTGATTATGCTGCTAACATCATTGCCACCACTGGGGTTTGGGGTTGGGCCACCACACTGGCTCTGGCAGCCAGTTCCACAGTACTCAGGTGTGTTGCCACACCACCCAAACTGGCTGCAGCACAGCCCATTCGCACATAGAGCACCTCCTGCTTGGCTTCCGCACTGTTGTGCAGAAACCTCTAGCAAGAAAATTGCTAGAGCACTCACCGTCAGAAGAGGATACAACTTCATTTTCTGTAACTCAAGTCTTGGCAGTGTGGGTTCTGGACTGAAAATGGAGCCTTTTATAGATTACTTTCCTCGGTTTTCCTTTGAATATTCTATTCAAAAAGGGCTGCTTACGCTTACTTAGTAGACCTTATCCTAACAATTATTGTCTCATTCCGTGTCTCATCTCTCACTTTCAGTTGTCATGTGTTTATTGTTTTTATTATTAATTAATACATGTTCATGCTCGTTGGTGGAAAGATTTCAACAGCTTGGGTCTTTCTGAGTTGTGAAGCTGTTTGTTGCCTTGTTTTATGGTGGGAAGTTCTGTTAGAATTCCTTTTCTTCCAGTTACATTGGATCTTTGCCTCCATCGCCACTAAAATTTTCGACTTATGCATGGAAAAGGGTCACCGAAATCAGGTGAAAAAGTGCTTTTTTTTTTTTTTAAGATATCCTAACAAAATTGATAACAAACAAACAAAAATGTTTGCTATGATCTTATGCATAAATTAATTTGGTTAATCTCGTATCCAAATTAATCAAAAAATTAATGTGCTTAGGTTAAGAAAAACCTAACTTATCTTTTTTTTTTTGAAAAGCAAGAACCTAACTTATCTTAAAAGTTGGTTTTAGCTATCATCTAGATCAGATATTTTTTTAGATTAATAAATTGTTAATCAAGTTGGCATCCATTTTAGAGAAGTAAAAGTTATTTCAATCGATTACTATATTATTAATATAGAGGAAAATTCAACAAAATAATTGCAAGTAAATAGTAGTACATATTGTAATTCTTTTGTAATCTATTCCAAAGAAAAGAGAAACAAGTTGGAAGTTGAAATCAGAATTGTACAGTAGGCTGATCGATTAAGCCTAGCCGCCAGCAGGACCAGGAATTTGCCTAACTTAAATTTTATTCCCTTGTAACGATTGTCAAAGTAAAGAAGATCTTTCCATGATCTTTAAATTTCATTTCTGAAGAATTCTGGGTTTTTCATGAGCTTAGGAGTCGATCATCTCTCCGCTCTCAAAAAAGAAAACACTTCAAAATTTTTATATATATAGAATTAATACACTTGCCATGAACAGAGACAGAGAGGAAAAAAATATCATGCAGAAATGCAACAAAGCCATTTCCTCTTATCATTTTGCTTATCAGAATCCTTGTACCGCTTCTTGGAGGGTGTATTCCCAGAGGCCTTGGCAGCCTTCTTGTCATTACTAGCTTTTGCGAAAATCACCGTAAATCCTTCAGCTGTAGCAGGATCGTTCACATCCCATTCCCCGAATCTTGGTAGAGGCCTCTCCCTATCATCTGATGCCATGATTAAACAGTACGAATTGATCTCAAGATGATCTGAAGAACTTATTAACTAGTTCGATGTAGGCTAAATTGACAAGTTTTTTTTTTTATTGAATTAAGGGAATTAATCCTTTATAAAGGTAGGGATGGAAATCAAAACTCTGGGTTTCTGTTTTTCCTATGCACTGTACTCGTAACTAACACGGAGCTTACACCATACATTAACATGCACCCGCGTGAAACGATTTCTTTTGTTATGTAAATCCTGGCGGATTATGCGGATAGCAAAGGAATTAAATGTTTTTAGCTCTAATTTTAGATTTTTTTAATTTTTTCTTGATGAATGGGAAGTTTTCTAATTTTATTCGTTAGAAATTGTTATTAATTATTGTTATTTCTTCCAGAACATAACCCAAACTCGACATGTTAAATTATTTAAAAATAAGAAAAAAACAATAACATAGTTACCATGTTAACTTTGGACGACAAAACAAAAAAAAAAAAAAGAAAAATTGGCATGTTACTAGCATTATGCTCCCCATGTTAGATAGATGTCCTATCTTTTGTTGCTTGCTGATGATGTTATTGCATTAGTTTTTGTCTTTAATTACCTATTTTTAATCTCGATTAGAACCAACCCTGACCACAATCGGTATATATGTAAGTATTTATAGAAAAAGATAAAATTTCATACCAAAATTTGGATAAAGTTACACAATAAAACATGTATGTGGTGAAAATCGATTAATCTAAGAAGGAAAACCATGTTGAAGTGAGAAGATATAAAAAGCAATATGACAATATATCTTCCCTTCAATGCACAAATTCATCTCTCCCTTTTCGGCATATTGATTTCCTCAATGAAGAAAGTTTAGATGAGAAGAAATTTGTATTTACTCTGAGACAAATGAATATTCTCTCAGTAAAGATTTTCAGCAGTAAGAGTCTTTGATCGAACAATTATGCAATCAAAGTGCTGTGTGGTGGGAGATGACAGATGAATTAATTCTAGCCCATTTACCGGGAAAAAAAGAAAGAGATTAACCCATTGAAGACGTGCCGCCCTTATCCCACGATAGTTTATATTGCATTTTATATACGTTTTAATGGTCTGAGTCAGACATTAAGCATCAAATCCCACTCTCCAGCTCTCACTTATCTAGCATCCCGTTGAAGACCCGAGTTAGACCTAATTAACCTCCATGGAGGATCTTCTGCTTCATTGCTCTGCTCCCCGATCGCCTGTGACCTTCCTGGAGCGAGCTGCCGATGTTTATGGCGATCAGGTTTCCATCGTTTATGGCACCCTTTGCTTCTCCTGGAGAGAAACTCATCAAAGATGTCTCAGACTTGCTTCTGCTTTGGCTCAGCTGGAGAATATTTCTCGGGGTGATATTGTAAGTTTGCCTTTCTTCTTTGATTCTTTTAGTACTATTTCAATGCATCGAATCACAGAGTTTCTTTTGAAAAAAAGTAGATTAATTTGTTATCGAATCATTTCAGATTCTGATGACTTGTATCAATTTGCATGGAAACTTAGCAATGTCAATATGTCTTAGAGACAGGAGCCTATAAATTAATTTAAAAGAACTTTGTTTGAAGAAGAAGAAAGAAGAGAAGAAGGGAAGGAAACAGGAATTTTATTTTTCACCTACAAAAGAAAAAAAAAGAGAGAATTAAAAGAATTGATAAATGCTTCGAATTAAATCGACCCTAATTACCCTAAAAAAAAGATTGAAAAACATAATAATTCAATTTCTATTCTTTGGTTTTCTTAATTAGCTAGAATTTGCGATGATGGAAATGAAAAAGGTATGCTGGAAGGTACATGGCTCGTAATTATTACAAATTCATAGGCTTAGGTTAGGAATTCCCGTATGATTTAGGTAATCAAACAAAATATTTTTATCTTTTTAATTATTAGAAATAAATAGAAGCAATATATATGTATTTACTATAAAAGAACACCAAGCGTCAAAGTCAACAAGCGCAAGCTACGATAGATTCATGCATGAAGGTGATGCACGAGATAAACGACAATCTTATCAAATTTATTTTCCTTCTTTGTCCTGGCTTTAATTTTATAAAAGCTAGATTTAAAAAAAAATTAAAATCAATTTATATTTATTAAAATTTTAAGACGGTTCAATTACTAATAAAAAAAGGAAATTTTTATTATATTTATATACTTAAAATAAGTCATCATTTTAATACTTCTACTCACTGTATAAAAATTATAAATCAGTCGAAATAAATCACAAAAAATCAATAAATAACTGTAACGTGGTCCCGTACGCCCAGCTAGTCTCTTTTTTTTTTGTGTAATTATTTTTTCAGTCAAATCAGGATGCAAAGTCAAGTTGCAACATGTATGGTACAAGTCTTTCCTCGAATAGGAATTTTAATGAAAGTCTTCCCACAGTCAACTTAAATTAGGTTAAAACAATCAAACTTAGGTTCATTCATTGAATTAAAAAAATGATTTGCTAAGACTATCATGAATAGTGATGGGTCCACATAATTTACTTATATCTGATTGTCCAATTAATGGGTTTCATGTGATTTTTCTGAAAACGAACCTAAAATTAGTGAGATATTTTATTCTGATCAATTGCTTATTGGATGGAACAAATCACCACAAATTAAATACTACTTTGGTGCAATTTTGTTTTTGTTTTTGCCTTTTTTGTTTTTTAGTTGGGGCTGGCATGTTTGCACATATAGCTTTGTGTTGAGGAGGGAGGTGGCTCGATATGGTTAATTTAATCCTGCTGAGCATTGACTATAAGTTAGTTAAAATGATTTGGGAAAGATTAAAAAAGAAAATATGTCACATTCGTCTCTTGTTTCCAGGAAGATTCGTGTTTGCAATGTGTAAATTAAGAAAGAAAAAACAAATTGTCTGCCATGACAAAACAAATGGCTGCTCATCAGCTTAAGGGAAAACCTAAAAATGGTGCTGAGTGTGGTTACATCTAATATACTAATAATTAATTTGCTAAATATTCTTAATTACAAGTAGTTCTTTGACGAGAAAATCGAGTCAGTAAAAAAAAAAAAATACAAGATCTTCTCCAATCACGTCGTATACAAATATACATGTTGCTCTAATTAGCTCGGAGTCTTGTTTTTGCAACATTGAATTTTGTTATATGACAGCACCGAATTGTCTCTCAGTATTGAATTTGTCAATGAGCAAACATATTTGACATCTCCATTGTTACTATCAAATGAGTAGGTTGCAGCTTTGGCGCCAAATATTCCAGCATTATATGAGCTACATTTTGCTGTTCCAATGGCTGGTGCAGTTCTCTCTGCACTTAACGTTAGGTTGGATGCAACTACTTTGGCAGCAATACTGGAAAAACTGGAGGCCAAATTTATTTTTGTTGATTATCAATTTGTCCACGTTGTTCACAAAGCACTTGAAATACTATCACCAAAGCAGGGCAAGCAACCTCTCCTCGTGTTAATCCAAGAATATGACCAGGAAGCAGCTCCAGTAGCAGACGAGTTCTGCCCTGTTAGTATCAAGTATAATGATCTTCTTGGAATGGGAAGGACAGATTTTGAAATAGTGAAACCAAACGATGAAGGTGATCCAATTTCAGTTAATTTTACCTCGGGCTCAACGGGAGAACCAAAAGGAGTATTATACAGCCATGGAGCTGCCTATCTCAATTCATTAGCATCAATTCTTCGGTATGACATGGGGGTTGCCCCAGTGTTTTTATGGACAGTGGACATGTTCCGGTGCAACGGATGGTGTTGCACTTGGGCCATGGCTGCTCTCGGTGGCATCAGCATCTGCATAAGAAATGTCTCAGCAAAAGTCATATTCGATTCCATTCTTCGTTACAGTGTAACTCACTTGTGCGGTGCACCTGCTGTTTTGAATATGATCGCGGATGCACCATCCCGCGAGCAAAGGCCGCTTCCTTGTAAGGTTCATGTCATCATCGCTGGTGTATTGCCAATGACCCAAGTGCTCAAGGTTGAAGGATTAGGATTTACTGTTAGCTATGCGTATGGAATGACGGAGGTCCTCGGCCCTGCAATCGTCAGGCCATGGAGACCTGAACGGGATTCTTGTCTCTCCAATGAACATAGAAAGGATAAGTTCCACGAAGCACTTCGTAGACTTCTGATTGAAGAGATTGATGTGAAAGATCCGGACACGATGAAGAGCGTGCCACGCGATGGAAAAACAATTGGGGAGGTAATGTTCAGAGGCAACACGTTGATGTCCGGGTACCTTAAAAATCCTAAAGCAACTCAAGAAGCATTTAAGGAAGGATGGTACAGGACCAGGGACCTCGGGCTTATCCATCCGAATGGTGCCATACAACTTAAGGACCGCGCAAAGGATATTATAGTTTCAGGGGGAGAGATTGTAAGCACGTTGGAGGTGGAGGCAGTGCTGTTAAGCCACCCCAAGCTCCTGGAGGCCGCAGTGGTTGGAAAGCATGATGATTGTTTGAAAGAGAAGCCCTGTGCTTTTGTGAGATTGAAGGAAGGGAACGGTGCAAGCTGTGAAGAGATTGTCAAATTTTGTGAGGAACAACTACCAAATTCCATGGTTCCTCGCACTGTAGTTTTTGGGGAATTACCAGTCAATTCGACTGGCAAGGTGCAAAAATTTACTCTAAGGGAGAAGGCTAATACCATCCACAGTATCATGAGCCAACCTTGTGCAGAACCATGAGAGGATAGAATTTTTTAAGAGTTTAAGTCTTTTGTACTTCTAAGAGAGATGTTTCCCTTTTTAAACATTGTAATGATATTTGGTGATATTTGTAGAAATTCTTGTTAAGTTTTAAGAGGAATACCTTTTAGGAATGAGATATCTCCATATTAAGTATTATAATAACTATTGGTGAAATACTTATAAAATTTTTTAAACTTTTTATAATCTATGAGTAGTCGATGGATTGTTGGGCTGCCTCATTAGAAAAGGTATATTTGTAACGAATCATCTAAAGTTATCCTTATGGCCCGACGATGATGTGTTTTGGTTCCTTTGTACTTATTTTCATACTAATAAAATATTTTCTTTTATTTGGTCTCAATAGTTGCATGTATGGCATTCGGTATGCCTTATAATTTCGATGTGCATTGTCTTAGTCTAATTTACTGTTATTGTTGATATTGAATTAGATATAAATGAGTTATTAGTTAGCTTATGTGAAAGCGTTCACTCAAACGTCGTATGAACTATCAGATACTTAAATAAAAAAACGTAATTCATGACACACAACATCAATCCCAAAAATAGGTGCTAGAGAGAATAAAAGGCTTTTAATTTGTTTAATTAATACAATCAAACTCTTAATTAAACAAACAATTATCTTCTCAACTCACTTGCACGTGTCTTTGTTTTATCACTGAAGTTTTTGCTAGCAATCAGATAATCATAGCAGCCGTTCAAAGACTTGCTACGTTCCTTTTTCTATTTCTTTGCATCTTTGAAGTCTTCTTTTGGATACCAATTAAGAAGATCAAATGACTTAAAAAACCTGATACATACATACATATATATATATATATATATATATTTGAAGTTAAAATTTATTCACTTCAAAGGAAACCAATGGTTCGCCTCTGGAAGGAGTACAAAACAGTTCAGACTAGTCATTCCCAAAAAAGAGGAGTGACTAGTCTGAATTGTTTTCAGAAGCTTTGAGCAAAAAAGGGAAAACTTCCCTGGGCATTTTATGTTCTGCACTCAGCAATCAACAACAAAAACCTCTATGCACATTTTCAGCAGATCTACACCACTAAACAGGAAATACACAAGACCTATAACCAGCACATCAAGTGCTTGATCGTAGGAATCAAAGCATCTTCTATACACACAAAAGAAACTGCACAAAGACAGACCCCAAACATCCAACCTCCTCATTTATTTGCCTAAACTCATCATTATGTAAATCATCTTGATCCCCAAGAGCGTATCATAGGAGGCACAAAACAAAATCATCTTCGCCCATGGATGTGGCAAAAAACATAAATGTCTCTTCTATTAAGCATTTGAAAGCAATCACATGGAGACCAACAATTTACACGTAGGCGAATCACATACCAGAGTTAATCCAGCACAGTCATCAGATCTTGAGCACGTTGGACCCTTGCTTTTAGCAAGCCTATTAGCCAGCTGATTATTCTCTCCGAAAGTGTGCTTGACCTCCCAACGTATAACATCTCTCTTCAATCTCTCAATATGCAACAACCATTTCCTTAGTCTCCATGGTCCTTCCGATGGCGGATTAACCCACTTGATCGCATTCCTTGAGTCACTCTCAATGAGCAAGGAATGGGTGGACACACATTTTGAAACAATAAATAAAATGAAATCCTCCTTGATTGCTCTTATTTCAACCAGGTTTGCATCCCCCACCACAATTGACTTCAAGAATAAGATCTTTACGTGCCTTTTGTTATCTCTTAGGGCTCCCTCTATCCCCACCTCGCCTGGGCAGCTCTGGACCGCTCCATCAACATTGAATTTCATCATCCCTCTGCTAGTTTGATCCAACTTTTCACCTCTCTATGCTTCTTGCTCTACCTCGTATCCGCACCCAGTGAGGGATTCTGGTATGTATCAACCATCAAGGACCACCCAGTATTATTTTGGCCATTTAGCATTTGCCCAAACAGATATATAAGATCACTCGCACTAACATTTTATTTTATTTAAACAAGTTCTAAATTGTATCTATTTTTTCACATATCAATAAAAATAATTATGATATAATGATATTATTAAAATAAACATCTCCATCTGTATTTATCATGAAACTTGTTTAACTTGTTTTCCAATTCTAATTACAGTATATATATGTTAGTATTACTATTTATTATGAGTAACATTTGTTTTTGAAATATTAAGAGCAAGATCTTTTCTTCAATGAGCTTACCCCACTAAACAAATTGTGTAGATTCATTAATTATTCTGAGGTTGATTCACTGAATGTATACTTTAATATAAATATCTTCTTCCTTGATATTATAATAAAAACAATTTTCCATATATAAGTCAACTATATTAATAGGATTAGCTGGTAGAACAATAGGTAAAGTAAAGGCAATATTAATTGCAAATGAAGTGATTGAGCTAAATACTATAAAGAAATCTCTTAATTTAGTTGATTTTGTTAACTTTGTTCTAAATTTTACATATGAATCACAAAAAAAAAGAATATTGTTAGTATAAATTAACATATGGAAAACTATATCTTGGGCAAGCAGAGGTCAATGAAATTACATGTAGGGACCAAGCATGGATTGGGATGCTGACTTTGGCAAGGGCAGATAGCGACAGCACGCTTTTTTTTGACTCAATCCCCTCTAAAGCCTTCCTTAACTTGAGGGGGGTGGACTTTAGTTCAAAGCAATTATGCTACACTTGGTGTGGTTATGAGTTGGAGACATCTTCAATGGTGGGGGAAGTCATGGTCTTCACCTTGTACTTTATCATCCTTTTTACAGTCTTGGGCTGGTTGTGCTTTGGTAAACGACACACACACAAGCGGTGAATGATAGTTTGTGGTGTCACGTTTTGGCCTTTGTGGTTGAGTTGTAACGAGTCAGTTTTTAACAGCGAAGTATGGAATGGGTCTGAAATATTCTTTCTTATTAAAATGCATTATATGCTTTGGGTATGCGCACGTGAGAGCACTGATGCAATTGATGATATCAGCTGGTGGTCTTAACCCCGAAACACATTTATTAGACGATCTCCCTTTCACTCACGACTAGGGTCCTTTAGGATACCTCCATCTAAAGGTGAGTTTAAATTCAATGTGGATGGCTTAGCAAGGGGTAAACTGGGCCAGCAAGATGTGGTGGGTATTTTCTTTGACCCACTTGGCATTAAAAACTCCAACTTTGCAGAGTTTATGGGCATTCTTCATGCACTGCGTATTTTCTTCGGTACCTTTTTTACAAGTTTTAAGTTGATTATTGAATTTAATTTTAAGAATGCTCTATCGTAGGTGACCAACACTGATATGAAGCCTTGGGGCAAATGGTATATACTTGTCGTTTCACTAGGCATGGTGTTTTTTTTTCATACATTACGAGAAAGTAATTATTTTACAGATTCCCTAATAAAGTCTGGATTTTATAGAAATACGATGTCCTCAGTATGGTGGTAACTTTTGATGCTTTAATCAGGGGCGACTCAATAAGTTCAAAGGCCTAAAGCCAAATATTCAATGAGGCATGCTTTTATTGAAATTAAAAAAATTATTAAATTTTCATTCTTCTAACTTTTTGAGATACAAAATTTTTATATTTTTGAAAGGGTTAATACAAAATCAACAATAAAATTTTTTAATTCAAATAAATCAACTATCACATAAAATAAAAGTAATATCAAAATATAATATAAATTCTAAACTAAAGTAAAAAAGTATGTAAATATTAAAATAATAGTACCTAATTGTTGAATTCTTATTGCAAACTACAAATGAGACTTATGACTCTTTGAAGATAATAACATAACAGACTTCTTATATATTTTTTAAAAAAAATTAAAATTAAAAGAAGAAGGAAGAAAAAGCAAATGAGAAAAGAAGACTTCAAAAGTAGATATTACACATTGAAAAAGAAATAATTTATTTTATATATAAGAAAAAAATAGTTGTTAGAAATCATTAAATATGTTGATTGAAAATAAAAGAAATAAGTGAAAAAAAATAATTATTGAAAATGATTAAATACATGTGACTATTAGTTGATTAAAAATAATATAGCATTTTATAAATTAGAAAATGATAAAAAAAATTAAGATTTATTAAACATATAATTAAAAAATAAAAAATAAATAATTTTATTAATTATTTTTTATTTTTAATATAATAAATTATATTATAAAATTATAAATGCCTTTTCAAATTGGAGGCCTAAAGCCCTCTCTTACTTGGGTGGCTTCACCCAAGGGTCGGCGACGGCTTTAATTGGGTTGAGCTGCTGCCTTTTGTTTTATGTTAATATTTTGATTTATTTATGACTTTTGCATTATCTTAGGATACTAAGCACCAATCGGCGAATCTTTTGTTTAATGGTACTGAGTACCACTAGGCTTGTACCTTGACATGGGATGATCTTCACACTGTAGTTTCAGTGATTTTAATGCAAATTTCATGTGACCGAGAAAAAAGGAGATAGCACATCACCTATGAAAACAGAGAAGAAAACAAGAGATCACCAATGCGTGTATGGAGAAAGTATGGAGATTTCAAAGGCGATAAGTTAAAAGGCAAAACAATCTTGAAAAGATGTCAGCCTCCATATGAGTTTCTGAAACCGTGGGTCTATGCATTGACGGCAGGGCTCCAGTCTTGCTCAGGCATCAGGTTGTTGGATTCTATTCGTTAATTTCCTGAAAGCATCTCTCTTCCCAGGGCTTCAAATTTCTTTCATAATTAACATTATGTTCATATTCATCCTCACAATTTATATAAATAAAATTAAGTTCATTTCAATCGGCTGCATGGATTATGACGTGGTCAAAAGCACCAGCATTGCGGCAAAGTGGTAATTCGAGCTGGAATATTCATCACAAAAATCTTTGGAAGTTTCCTTGTCTTTTTTTTTTCTTTGGACAAATGGGTGGTTAGACAGAGGCGTTGAAACTCAGCATCCCTGTGATCACGTGTACTTCGTTGACACTGAATAGGATCAGATGAGACTTATGTGTTCAAATTTTAGATATTCGAAAGACAGATCAATCAAGTCGAACAAAGCTAATTATTGCTGTCCGAATCTCCACCAGCCGTTGCATGTCGTGCAGTCGACTGCAGATTCGTTGCTCCTCTTAGTGAGCCTACTAAGCTATAGCTACCCGATTCTGTTTCTGCCTTTCATCTCCACAGACACCCTCAGGTAAGCATCTGCTTCCTGCTGCCTTGTTGAATTGTCAGCAAATTGTCTGTTTGTTTGCTTAGAAAACGGAGGATAACAAAGTGGGAAAAACAAACTGAAATCGATGCTTCCTTGTTGCATTATTTCCAGTGCCTTGGGTCTTGTCAAATATGCCAATTCTAAATTTTTACTCGAGCCAGAAATTGGAACTCTTCGTGTTACTGGGTTTTTGTCATCAAATTATGATATGTCTGCTTGCCAAGAAACAGGATGGAGTACATATCTGCTATATAGTTTTCAAGTTTTAATGAAATTTCTGCTAAATTAAGCTACAATTTTTTATATCTGATTCAGTTGAGCGGATGTTTTAGCATTTTGCAAACCGTTGCAATTACAATTAAGCCTTTAGCCAGTCTTATCTCCTCTCTTTAGAGAGTTTTATCTGCAAGAAAAGCAATTGTTGACAAATTTGGATGCATTAGTCATAATGATGCTACTAAGAAACCAACTTTACCTTGAATGAAGCAGAATGTTGTCTGAATTTTGGTTGAAATCTTGAATTACTGTTTGTCATTATAATGAATATCACAGATTGCTTGGGATCTTACACCGAAATTCATTCTAAAAGAGTCATTCATCATCAACATGACAATTAGTCAGTTCAAGGGTAGACTCCCCTGTAGAATTACTGAAAGAAACTTTGGAAGAGGGGAAACTAAAAATGCTATGAAAGCACGCTGGAGTTGTTCTTTTCTGCTAACATATAGGGGGAGAAGACTGAGCTTCAATGATGCCATCAAGTGTTGTGGCTCAACAGGTGATCAGCATACTTCAGATCATATTAGCTTGAGTTCCTCTAGCATTCACAAGAGATCAGATTCCAATGATGCAAGTGTGGTAACTGATGGAATCCTGTAAGATAAACTACTCCTTGTCAATTCACCTACCTTTTCTTCCGTTGTACACTTTCCATTTGTATAATATATCAAGAAGATAAGTTTGGTAGTGCAACTTATTTGTAGGTGATTCAACTTAATTAATGCAACTATTTCAATTTTGGTTCTGTTTCTTAAAGGACAAAATTTTGCATTTCGTTTAGAGAATATCTGATTCATTTCTCAGAGACTCAACCAGGACACCCTTGACCAATCAATCAAGCCTTCAAAGTGTCCAAATCGAACTTATAATGCTTGCATTACCAGCCATTGTAGGACAAGCTATTGAGCCTTTAGCGCAACTAATGGAAACAGCTTTCATTGGAAGATTGGGTATGATATATCCGTAACCTGTGTTTCTTTTTCATCCTCCAAAATTTTACCATGCCTTATTACGGTTGGCTGAAATTTGTTGTGGTTGTATCTCACTTACATTCATACAGAGCTTCTGGAGGATCTACATCCTTATCTGTTTAAATGTTAGTATGATCCTGCTATTCCTTGCTTACATTGTTGACTGTAAACACCAGTTTTGAGTTAAGAACAGCTTATTTACTGTGAGAAAATGAGCTTTTTTAAGGTGATGCTTGCTGTCCGGTAAGAATTTAGGATACTTTTATTCCCTTTGTTTATTTCCCGTTTCCTTCTGTCAATGTTTATTTCCTGGTAATACAAATTTAATATTGCATATACTGTCTTCTTGTTCTAACATTCCATAAAGTCTTACGATTCTGATTAATGCAAAGGTGCTTACCAGTTAGCATCAGCAGCTGTTTCCATATCAATATTCAACATCATCTCAAAGGTTTTCAATATTCCTCTTCTTAGTGTTGCAACATCATTTGTGGCTGAAGACATCTCAAAAACCAGGAAGGAATTTGCTTCAGGTGAAACTGTACTGATATTGAGAGGAAAAAA